TAAACACACACACACACACCCTGGTACATTATAGCACAATTCTTGTGTAAATAAACATGTAAATATTTAGGTTTTTACATTATTACAGCCATGTGAATACTGTACATAAATCATTATGCATGATCATTGCATTAACTTGCTTATACAACATTTTTTCCTGAGGTTAAAAATTGCCTTTGTTCCTGTTTTTGTTTTTGTTTTTCAAATTGATGTTTTATTCCCTTGATTCAAGTTAAGCAAAGTTTAATATAATGCTAATTCAAGAGATAAATACTCATTAATTTTCAATCACGGTATGCATTCTTTCATACAAGAAATATTTATTGAACACACTACAGACATTCTTCTAAACATTCAAGAAATTTATAAAGGTAGGTAAAAAGAAAACTGTCCCTAACTTCATGAAACTTATTTTATAGAGGTGGAAATTAAAATTTTTAAAAGTGAATAGATTAAGTAGTTTCAAAAATAAACAGAGAAAGACAACAGGGGAAGCCAGCTATAAATTTGTGAGTCTGGTCTTAGGAAATGGCATTTTATTTTATTTATTTATTATTATTATTATTTATTTTTGTGACAGAATTTCACTTTGTTTCCCTTGGTAGAGTGTGGTGACATCATAGCTCACAGCAACCTCAAACTCTTGGGTTCAAGCAATCCTCTTGCCTCAGTTTTTCATTTTTAGTAGAGATGGGGGTCTCACTCTTGCTCAGGCTGGTCTGGGACTCCTGAGCTCAAGCAATCCACCTGCCTTGGCCTCCCAGACTGCTAGGATTACAGGAGAGAGCCACCATCCCCGGCCCAGGAATGACATTTTATAAATTCTGGTAAGATAAAGCCTTGGGATAAGTCAATATTGAGCAGACTCTGAAAAAAGTGAGCAGGCAAGTCATATAAAGAAATGGGATCTCCCGGGCGGCGCCTGTGGTTCAAAGGAGTAAGGCGCCAGCCCCATATACCAGAGATGGCAGGTTCAAACCCAACCCCGGCCAAAAAAAAAAAGAAAGAAAGAAAAAAAAGGTATCTGTTCAAAGCATCTTATAAACAGAGATAAGCAAGTGCTGAGGCCGTGATACTCAACTAGTCTGACACATTCTACGGAGTTCACTGTGGCTAGAGAAAAGGGACACGTGACCTACCAGAAGGGCTGAGAGCAGAGAAGCAAGAGACTAGGTATTATGAGGCATTTTAGGCAATGAACCTCAAAGACATGGGTTTTTACTCAGACTGAGATGGGAATCCATTGGCAGATCTTAAAAGGGATGTGACATATGCCATCACATTGTAGGTGTAGGTGGCCTCTATCCACTAATTATTCCCGAACGTGGACAAAAAAAGATATTACCAGAAATTGCCAGATATCTCCTATGAAGGCTTAAAATTACCTCTTGTTAATAAGCAAGGTTTTAATCGGATCACACTGATTGATTTTATAGAAGAGGCACTAGGGGCCAAATGAACATGAAGAGAATTCAATAGCAGCTCTTGCTAGTAATCATAGTCAGTGACTATGGACCCTCATAGTAGTATATTTGGCGAGGATTGGCTGGATTGTGGGAACATTTTATTTATTTTTATTTTTTTTTACTTATACATGTGTTTATTCATGTTTTTGCTTTATTGTGACAGGGTCTCACTCTGTTGCCTGTGTTAGTGTGCAGTGACATAATCATAGCTCCCTGCAACCTTGAACTCTTGGCCTCAGCGATGCTCCCGCCTCAGCCTCCTAAAATGCTGGGGTCACAGGTGTGAGCTACCATGTTGGCCTAATAATTCCCTTTTTAAAATTCACTTGATTTCTCTAAAGAAAAGTGGTTTTCAAACTTCTTTTTTTAGTAGTGGAACTTATCTTCCAAACAGAATTTTAGGGCTCGGTGCCTGTGGCTCAAGCGGCTAAGGTGCCAGCCACATACACCTAAGGTGGCGGGTTCAAATCCCCAGCCCGGGCCTGCCAAACAACAATGATGGCTGCAATTAAAAAATGGCCAGGCATTGTGGTGGGCGCCTGTGGTCCCAGCTACTTGGGAGGCTGAGGCAGGAGACTCGCTTGAGCCCAGGAGTTGGAGGTTGCTGTGAGCTGTGATGCCATGGCACTCTACCCAGGGGGATAGCTTGAGGCTCCGTCTCAAAAAAAACAAAAAAAACAAAAAAACCAAAATTTTAGGTAGAGCTCAACTTAATAAAACAGGAAATTCAAAGCTACTGGGTTGAAAGGGGGTCCTTCCTTTCAGGGCTTCTGTGTACAGCAAGGTGGGTTGTGTACTGCACAACTTCAGAGCAATGTGATTCAGTCATGACAATCAAATTTACTCACTCCCTTGGGGAATGCATCCATTGTGTACGGAGAGGCCCACCTGGAAGTTCACTTACATCAGCATCATTCTGTGCTTTAAAAAGGCTTGTTCCCTTCTCTGGTCTGGGGTTTTGTCCACTCCCTACTCTGCATAGGTTCCCTCCCTATTCTGAATAGGATCCTGTGGTGGTATTTAACCTGTCCAACCAGTGTATCACCCATAGGCTGCTAGCTAGAAGATCCTGTTATGGCTACCTCCTGACCGGTTCAGTGCCCCTCAGATTTGCTTGGGCCAGGCTGGGTGCCAAAAGCTTAATGCAGACAGCTCTGCTCAGAGCATACTCAAATGCAGCATTTGGATATAAGGAATGGCTTTGTCACTGAGTAAGGAAGCTGTGGGAGCAGACCATGCGGGACTGGTCTCCCATGGAAAAGCCTGAGGTAGAGGAGGAGAGCTGGCCAACAATGAGCAGCAAATCACACTTTGAGAATCACACCTGTCTGGGAATCCCAGCCTTGCTTTTACCTGATTGACCTTGGCCAAATTGCTTAATCTCTCTGGGCCTTAATAGCCTCCTACCTAATTAATAGGGTTGTTGTGAGTGTTAAAAGCAATGTGTAACCCTAATAAATCCCAGGGTCAATGTGGCTCAGTCTCTGCTTACAGTCTCATTTTAAAAATCATAGTCTAACAGCCCAAAAGTAATTGAAAAGGGTATTCCAAACCTAACTGCACCACTCACAGAATGTTGACGCGGAGCCCATTCATAACTGATAGCAACCCTGTCCAAACCCTTTCCCTCTAGTCTCTGTGTTCCTACAGTGGGCCATGTCCCGGGAGCACTGTCTGGGTATTTTCCCACAACATACCACGCCAGTCTCCGAGGGCTTTTTCTCTCTCTTTCTCTGCCTCATTTCTTACTTTCCATACCAGTGCTGTTTTCACCAGGCCTGTTTTTTCTCTACCCATCTTCCTGCCACTGCTGTGTCACAAATGATCAAACAATCTGGAAATGAGCTGAGAAAGGTGCAGGCAGAAAGTGGTGGGGGAGAGGTTATGCGGGACACACGCTCTGAAATAACTCTTGCTTCATCTCCCGGGGAAGTATCGGGCACGTGCAGCAGGAGCTTGGCCAGCACTGGTTCTCTTCCTCATTATTCAGACGAGGAGCCTAGAGGGTGAGAGGTAGGGCTTGCCTAATGGACCTGCCACTTTTCTGACCACCTGCCACTTCTAGTAGATGGGCAGCGACTAGAAAAACCTCCTTAACTTATTTCCTTTAAACTCCACCCCCCCTCAAAAAAAAAACTGGTACTGAAAAGACCTGAGGGATGGAGACACAGCTTTTGCCTCTAACTCCCCCACCCGCTTCCTTCTCACCTTTTTAGCCACTGAACACAGCACAGCCCTTCCCACATCCACACACATCTCTTGTTCCATCCTTTCATGGACTCTTTTTCCTCCTCAATGCCGTAGACTGAGCGCCTGCTGCATGCTAGGCCTGTAAGAGGCTGGGGATTCAGAGACAAGGAGGTCTTCTGTTGCTCAGAGACAAATGTCAAAAACAGACTTCAAATCAGATGTGATTGTATTACTACACAAAAATTGAGGGATGCACAGCATGCTGTGAGAGCACAGAGGGGGAGCGATTAACCCACAAGGGAAGCTCTTAACCCACAAGGCACCGGGGAGACTTCCTGGAGGAAGTGTCCTCTAAACTATACAATAATATCTGATGTCGTATGATGGTAAGCTCTACACCAAGCACTTTGCTAAGCATGTTGGCTCATTCAGCTTTCACAACAAGAAGTATATGTTGCTGTTCTCATTTTAGAAATGAGGAAACCAAGGCTCAGAAGTTCATTGACTTTCCTAAGGCCACATAGCTAAAAAGTGGCAGAGCTTTAACTCAAACACAGGCCTATGTGACTCCAAACATTATGCTTTTTTTTCCCCCCAGACAGAGTCACTTTGTTGCCTTCAGGATTACAAATGCCTGCCACAACACCTGGCTTTTTTTTTTTTTTAGAAATGGGGCTCTCCCTCCAGCTCAGGCTGGTCTTCAACTCATGAGCTCAAGCAATCCACTTGCCTTGGCTTCCCAGAGTGCTAGGATTACAGGCATGAGTCAAAGACTATGCTTTCAACCACAGGGCAATGTATATAGAGGTGTTCAGGTTACACACTGCACAAGGATTCACGTCACACATAGAATAACTCATTTGAGTGTATAAGTGGACCTGGAGAGTCAGGCCTCTGTGCTCATTCCCAGGGCAGGAGGAAAGAGTCTCTTCCTGATCCAAATCTGACTGTGTTACCTCCCCTGGGGCAGTGGGTAAATGTGGGCACCGAGGAAAGCAGACATGCTCCAGTGTCCACCATGCACATAGGCGACAATGTGGGCCTGTGTGTGTGTGCTGCTGGGGCTGCCGGCCCCCCGGGCTTTGATCGTTCCTGTGAGTAGTGACATCTTAAATTTAAATGTTTTTAGTTGAGGAAAGAAGTCTTTTTGTAGTTTGCACAGGGGTGCGTATAGAGCAGCAGTGGCCCAGCCCCAACACTCTGCTGTGTGGCCACCACACCATTTGGCCCAGCAGGGACCCAAAGTTCAGTTGAAAAACCCAGAGGAAAGGATCTCTTCTCAGGGCCACCACAAGGCCATCAAACTAATCCCATTTTCTGTCTTTCTCTCTTTCTTCTCTGCAGACAGGCAGGATTGAGCCCAACTACCCCAAGGTCTGTGGTCACCAGGGCAATGTGCTGGATATCAAATGGAACCCCTTCATTGACAACATCATTGCCTCATGCTCAGAGGACACGTCGGTGAGCTCCCCGAGGAGGGTGGGCCACAGGCTCCTCCCCACTTCCTCCTGGGGGTTTCCCTTAAGATCCCCTTCCTCCCCTCTTTGCCTCTGTTCTCTGTCCTCTTTGACATCCTTCCAGCTCCCCGAGATGGGGAAGAAGGGAGCTAGGGAAGGACAGAGGCTGCAAACCCATAGAGTATTTAGCAGATCTGTGCCTTTAGTGCGATTGAGTTTGGAGGTGTTGATTTTATAGGTGAGAATTAGAATGTATAACTTAAGTGTATGATTCAGCACTTGTCTGTGATCACAAAGGGAGAAGGGTAAGAGGAAGAGTATTGACAAGGAGGGAGGGGGCGGAAGGGAGGAAACTGGTGAGCAGGAGGGAAAGAGCTCTTGATCTCTGCAGGCTGGGCTTGGTGAATGTGCCATCTGGTTTGTCCACTATGAACCGTGGTTTCTAGGGAAGGACATTTGGCTGAGAGAATTGTTGTGACTTGTCCGAGGACCCATACTGGTGACCTGAAATTTGAACTCTGTGTGTTCTACCATTTGGTGAGAAGAGAGAAGAAATAGGAGAAGGGAAATAAGGAAGAGAGAGCAGGGAGAAGCCAGAGAGAACAGATGGGGAAATGGAGATGGGAGGGGAAGGGGGAAGAGGCAATTTAGGGAAGGAGATATAGAACCCAGGAAGAGAGAAATTTGAGGCTGCTTTCTGGTTTTCCTTGGGCTTTACTGGCTTTCACAGGTGGAGGTAGGGTCAGAGGCACTGGCAGTAGCCTCTAGGTTTCTGGAGAGGGGTCCCATACTATTCCCCACAGTGCCCTTGAGCAGCACCAGCTTACCAGCTTGGGAGAAGGGGGACTTCAGAGGCTCAGCTGAGCTGGTGAGGAGGGCCCTGGAATTCCCAGGTGAAGGAAGATCAGCCTTTTAGTCGGGACACAGCATATATCTAGTCCCTACTGTCGTATCCTGGGTCCAAGTCGGACTTTCAGGTTATAGGAACTAGAAAGAACTTCAGAGCTCATGTCTCCCTGTCTTCTCAGACTGGACTGTGAGGTTCTAAGAACAAAGACTATGGCCTATTTGGCTGTGAATTCCGAGCATCCAGCACAGGGCCTGGTACCTAATAAATACTTAGTAGGTATTGGATTGGATGGATGGATGGATGGATGGAGAGAGGGATGGATGGGTGGATGGATTGTTGGATGGATGACTACATTGATGGATAGAGAAATTGATTAATGGTATGGATGATAAATAGATGAATAAATGATAGGAAGTATGACTCAATAGGTGACTGGATGCTGGGTTGATGGACAGTTGGATGAATGGAAAGATAAATAAATGAATGAATAAGTGAATGAGTGAAGTCCAACTAATCAATTATCCAAAGGAGAGAGATTTGCAGTAAACAGTTTCTATTAGTTCATGAAGTTTGGGGTAAGGTCAGCTGGCACATCACCTCGAGTAGCGAGGAGGGGCCCAGGAGGGAGGAGTGAACAGCTCCTGATTGCTAAAGCCCTAAATTAGCTGGAGAGGACTCCTGAGAGCAGCAGCAGCAAGGGCAGGGCCCGTGTGAGCAGAGAGCAAGAAGCTCCATCGGTTTGGTGACTTTCCCAGTAGCCCCAGAACCACAATGGGAAGTGGTCAGGGTCAGGACACAAGCAGACCAGTGCTGCAGAGGGAAGAGCACCAGGTGATGGCACCCAGAAAAGGTGAGGGACCAAGGATGTAAAGGGGGTCAAAGTGCTCACTAGTTGCTTCCTGAGCTAGGAAGGAGGCATATGAGTGGGAGGGGGGCTGTGGTTGGCACAAGAGACCTAGGCTTGGTGGGAGAGAGGGCAGGTAGGGAACTACCCATCCTTCTGCCCTGGATGCAGGGAGCCCAAGAAGGAGTGCAGCAACCCGAGCTAGTTCCATCCCAGCCTGCTCACGTGGTGAGTGACTGTCACCAGCCAACAGGGAGCAGACACCCCCGAAACTCAGTGCTGCCTTTTACCGAGCTCCCCACCCACTCTGGGCTGGGTACGTTACATACATGGAGGCCTCATGGCCACCCTGTGAGGCAGGTACTGCTGCCCCCAAACTGCGGGTTAAGAGATAGGCCACACATCCAGGACGCAGAGGATGAAGGTTTCACCTGGGGCTGCTGAGTGTAAAGCTCACACGCTTCCTGCTTCACCAAGTTTCATCATCACAGTCAATGCTGGATGCTCTGGGCCACTCCTGGTGTTTCAGGTGTCACCAAGGGCCCTGCTGGGTTAGAGAGGAGCAGTATCTGTGTGATGTGGGCAGGGACTAGTTGGGCTGGGGCTCTTGGAATTGCCAGCCACCGTGGCTCCTCTTCAAGTCACAATTTTTTTCTGTCTGGATCAGAGCAAGAGACAGACCTGCCCTGTCCCAGCTCAGCCTCTTATTTCACCTGATAGGTCCCAGGATCCCAGTTGATAAGCAAAACACCCCATGAGCCAAGCAACTCGCTTTACTTTTGCACACGCTGACTGAGAGACCACCATGTGCCCAGTGGCACCCTCCTGCCTACCAGGTCTCACTGTGGAACCTGGTAGGCCTGGGATGGAATCTCAGCTTCCCCTTAGCCAGCTGGGTGGCTGAGGGAGTGCCACTTTACCACTTCCAGTCTTGGCTTCACTCATCTCTGAATCAGTAAAAGTAGTGACTTTTCCCTTGTGCACTGGTGATGAGGATGGAGGAGTCTGCCCTGCACTGCACCTGGCATCCGTCAGAGCCTCTAATCTCAGCCCTGTTCTGGAAACAGCCCCAGTAGAGAGGCAGGGCCCACCCCACTGACTGAAAGGCAATGCAGAGCAAGGTCACTGTGTTCACCAAAGGCCAAACAAAGGGCTTATGCACACAGAGGGATTAATTTGGGCCAACAAGCAGGAAGGGGAAGAGAGGGTTAGGGAGGCTAGATGCTGGAGAGGCAGGACTTTGACAGGTAGAAAAGGGGGTTCAAGAAGGATTCCCTGGGAGAGACTTGTACAGGCAGGGGTCTGGAGGGAATGTCTCTGTCTTATGTTCTTTGAAAAAGGAGAGTCATCTGATGTGGCTGGGTGGTCAGTGGAAGTAGGCAGGAGGGGACGCTGCAGGAGCCATTGGGATCAGAAAGTGAAGGCCTGGGACACAGGGTGAGTGGCTGAACTTTGAAGGGAGACCTGTGCCTCTCAAGCCAGCTGAGCATAAGCCGGGACCCCTGGAGAGTGGTGGGAGTAGGGGACACTCCATGCCCCAGGGGATCAGTGAGGGACTACTAAGGATGGAGGGGTCACAGCCAGCTTTGTGGCAGATGTGGGCGGGTGGGCTGGCTGGATGCAGCTCTGCAGATGAGGGCGGGGATGCAGTGTGGCTTGGGGCACAGGAAGGGAGGGGCTGGCCTGGGCCACTGATCCAGAGACAAGAAGATTAAGTCTCTGGATCAGAGAGGAACTAAGCCCTTGCTCCGGCTGCCAGGCCAGCTGCTCCACAAGCAGGCTCAGAGCCCCATCTTACCTGTCAGGTGTTCACCTCTTCTCTGCCTCAGGCCAAGGATCCCAGCATTGAACCCAATAGACCCCTGAGGCTGAAGCTGGCCCCCCTCCTGGAGCAGGGCGGGCTGCCCCCACCCCCCATGTAGGGTTTCCCAGCCAGCACTCTCAGCCTCCTGCCAGCAGCTCTGGTTTTACAAGGGAGGAAACTGAAGCTCAGAGCCATGATAAGCTGATGGTTCAGATGCATCTGACACTCAGTATTGGCATCACAGGTCTCCTTCCTGCAGGGCCCAGGGCTTACATGGCACAGACATCCTCGTGAGCCTGGGTGGAGGGGTGTATAAAAGAAACAGAGACCGAGGCTCCCAAGAGGTGCACCAGGAGGCCTGCCGGCACTGCTTCCTCTCTAACCAGCTTTCCTGCCTCCATCAGAGTGCCTTGAGGCACAGGGCTCCGAGACACCCTCCCTCGCCTCATTCCGGGACATCAAACATGGTCTGGGGGACCAGGGCTGGGACGTCAGTCGGCAGAGCTACTGGGCCAGGCACTGTGCTACATGAGAAGAGGGCACAGCCGGTCTGGCCTCTGCCCCTGCCCCCACAGCCCTCTGCTCATCTATCAGAACAGTCAGAGGACACGGTGGGATTTAGGGAGCCCCCACTCCCCCGCTCCTTCCCCATGTCCTCATCCCTGAAATCTGTGAAGTGATCCTTGTCCCTCAGAATCTGCCTCCCAGTCCCTTCCCCCAGGGCATGAGGAGGGGTCTGAAGTCTAGCATCCATCCCCTCAGAGATCCAGTGGAACATACCCACGCCCCTTCCCGAGGGGCTTCAGTCCTGAGGGAGGGAGTGAGGGGGCCATAATTCTCCCTGGCATCTGGCAGAATCCAGTTCTTTCCGCCGCTGGGTGATGTCACCTATTGTTGAAGGGCTGTGCTTTTTATAGCTTCTGCCGCAGCTAGGGAGGGCGGCTGGCAGGCGGCAGGGAAGGGCGCTATCGGTTTCCAAGCCTCCTGCTCCCAGCCCTTCTCCAGGGCGGCAGCCAGCACCAGCAGCCGCAGAGAAAGAGAGGTTTCTGACATCTCAAGGAGAGGGAGAGGGAGGAGGGGAGGGAGGCAGGCTCTCTCGCTGTGGGCCCAGCTCAGCATCTTTCCTTTGCCTTCAAGCTCCTCCACCCAACACCCACCCTCCTTGCCCCAGAGAGATGGGGCCCCTCCCTGAGGAGCTGTGAGCCCCACAGGAAGCCCCCCACCACTCTGCCTCCAGCACCCACACACACACAAGCCCGGGAGCCAGTGCCTCTTGGAGCTGTCAGGGAGCAATGCACTCTTTAGAGGAGGCAAGAAGGCAGCCCTGACCTGGCTAGTTCCTCACAGCAAACCTGGTAGCCAGGGCGGAAGTGGTGCTGTGGTGCTTACTGCTCAGTGGCTAAGCAGACAGGCCCGGGAGTTCTAGGCCCAGGTTCAAATCCTGGCTCTGCCACTTCCCAGCTCTGTGATCTTAGTCCTGTTTTGTTCACTCTTTGGGCACTAATG